CATCTCTTTTTCTTCTCTGTTTAAGTTTCCAGTATGAAAGTCTCCTTTTTGAAGTTCCTTGTATTGATAATATGATTCCTTTTATTCAGTTGTTTCCATCAGATTACCTTGAAGTTCCTTTTGTATTTCGTTGGCTTGTTCAATAGTGATTTCTTTAGTGTAACAGAACATTTCTTCTTGTTTCTCATCCTCAGTTTCATATTCTTCTTCAGATTTATTCTCCTCCAATTTTTCATCATGTTCATCCTCATTTACTTCTTCAATTTTTATGGTCATTGATGTTTTATATTCAATTGGAATTGTTATTGGTTTGCTCTTCCAGTATAAGGTCATCAGTTTATTATGATAACTGATTTCAGCATCTAGTTTTTCAAGCCAGTCATTTTTAACTATTGCATCATAGGAGTCAGATTCAGTGACGATAGTGTTGAAAGGAATTATTTTTCTCATTATTCTAAAAGGAACATTATCAACCATTCCAATTGGTCTTTGTCTTTCACCATTCACATTTATCATTATGGTTTTTGAAGGTCGGTCAATTTCCATATCTAATTCTTTTAAGAGCCTTAGAGAAATAATACAACTAGAAGATCCTGAATCAACAATCAATTATATTTCCTTATTCTTTATATATGCTTGATAATAAAGAGCTGTTGATTTTCTTTCTGGGGTACTATTTTGATATCCTTTTGTTTGGGCAAGTGTATTTTCTTCTTCAATAGGATCAAATGTATTAGAGGCTTCTCCTTCATTTTCATTAACATCCATGGGTGCTATAGGTGTTTCATTTATTTCTCCTAGTACAGGTTCCTTTACTTTATTAACTTTGTGAGCCACTGATTTTTTCAATTGTTTGATTACATTCTATGTGAACTTAGGGTTCATGGCAAGCAACTGACCATTAGTTATATTTACTTTTTGGTCAAAGAACTGTTGTGGCGTGTAAGGATCAACCATATTTACAACTGGAGGTTGAGCTGGTGGTTTTCTTTTTACTTTAGACTTTTGCTGAGTTCTTTTATTTACAGTATTTAATTGTCGTTGTTCCCTTTCTCTGATTTACTCTTCCACTAATTCTCCTGCAGTTTGTCTCCTCTTATTATTTATATAGGTTTCTGTAAGTGACAAATTAGAAGGGATTTCATTTGGTTTCGTACCTTTACCCTCAGGAGGTATACCATTTAGTTTAAATGCTGAATTTGATCACCTTCAGCAATTTGACCAAGTAGTTGTGCCAATAACTGTAAAGCTTAAACATTATTATTTGCATTCAAATTGTTCAGTGTATTATTAATAGGATTAACTAGATTAGCAACTGGAGTTACGACATTATTTTGTACTGGATTTGTTGGAGGTACATTATTGAAGGCGTTATTATTGTTAAGGATTCTTAAAGGACAATTCCTTCTGATATGACCTGGTTGGTTACAGTCGAAACAGACTATGCCAGTTCCCCTTTGATTATTTTGTCTTCAGGGTTGGTTTGCTTGATTTACATTTGGAGCATTGAACTGCTGAAATAGTCGGTTATTATTTTGTCGATATCCTGAATTATTTCTTTGTCCTCCTAAATTCATCTGTTGGATTTGTTGTGTAAGACTTGCTATAGCATTATTTAGGACGCCCATTTGTGCATTAGCATTTGATGCCGTTGGAGTGTACTTGTTCATGTAAGCTTCTACTGAGGCTGTGTCCTTATAAGCAAGTTCATATTGCTTAGCACGATTGAGAGCAGCGTTCCATGTCTGATCATTGAAAGGTTTTACAAGCAGATGCAATTCAGGGACTAATCCATTTACAAGACGTCTAGCCTTCATCATATCAGGATATTGGAATGCTAGAGACTTTACTCTCCTATATAATTCAAGTAAGGCACAAGCATAGTCATCAACATTCTCTCCAGGTTGCTGATGTCATTTCTCCAATTCAGTTATCTAGATTTCAACAAGCGTTTGTGACCTGAAAGCATTAGGAAAATTAGTTGTAAAGTCAGTGTTGTTATTGTTTTCAGTCTACGCTATAATTCTGTTAGGGTCTCTATTAGCAAGGGCCTGATTAGTGGTCCACCAAGTAGATGCTGCATTTTTGAGATATGCTGGTACAACTTCAAGTTTTCTGCTGTCATTGATACTATTTGCATTGCATGCTCGAGTGAACCCTTCGAGCCATCCTACAGGATCTTGATTTCTGCCATAAAAGTATAGTAAGTCAATTACCTTGTTTCTCTACGTGGTGGATTTGCTGTAATTGCATTTATATTAGCCTGCAACTATGCATTTAAATTAGCTAATCCATTGTTAGCATTTGCTGGTCCTGCAGGTTGTAAAACTCTATGTAAGGCTTGTAATGCTATTGTGAGATTTTGGATGTCCGCTTGATTAGCTGCCATGTTTATATTGTTGATATTTATATTAAATAGTTGGTCTAAATTATAATCTTCACCGTCAGACGAATCAGGTGTATTTGGTCAGGTTAAAGTAAGTGGTGGGTAATTATGTAAAGTAGAGTATTGTGCAGTATTTATTTCACTTATTTGATAAAGCTCTTCAAAGGGATCTAATTGAAATCCGTTAGTTATTACTAAGGTGTTGTAAATATCCTGTCAAAATGTAGCGTAAGATCCTGGATTACTGTTATATCTAATACTTAAAACTAAGAGCTCAATTCGTTCTAAGATAGCTTCAGGTAATGTACAGGAAATAAGACGATTTAATTGGTGTTTTGTATTAGAAGTATAACTAATAACGGGATATTCAGATGAAAGCCAATCCCAAAAATTTAAGAATCTATGTGTGTCAGGGATGATATTTCCAAGATAACAAATAGGGCAAGAAGGATCAATTAAAATCTGAGTTATGTTATTAATTCGCTAGGTGTGTAATTGCGTATGCAAGCATTATTTATTAATTAAAAGTTCAAAATTAACCATCAAAAGTTTCTGGCAGAAGGCACTATATGTTACGCTAGTTCTTTAAAACGCTCAACTTAAATAAGCGTTATGTTTATGTGTGCAGAAGGTTTCCTTCGTAAAGAAGATAGAGA